GAAGATAATTTTCTAGTATTTGCACCACATTACCAACTTATTGGGCAGGTTTTCAGCCTACGAATCACCTACAAATATTTGGAAAGTCAAATCTATATCTAAGAAATTTTTACGAAGTGTCTTCATAAGATATTATCAAATTTAGCTACTTTTATTTAATTCTTCTTGTCCAAGTAAATAATAGTATTAATATATATGTCTATAATATTATTCTTTCTTTTATAAATGAATTCCACTAAAAACAATGATTACAAATTGAAGAAATGTAAGATGCAATAAATCATATTTGCCACATATTCTAATCTTTAGTTTTGTCAAAAGTAGTTAATAGATCCTCTCAATTATCAATTAAATTCTATACCAAGATAAAAATGACACCTTATTATTTGATCATTTCTAAGAAATTCATAAATATTTTTAAATAAAATATTTAAAATACCATTAAGAATGATTCTTATGTCTAATAATTTTACCAAACACTGAGAGTCTCTTCTAAAGTTTTATTATTAAAAAAATTATATCTCTATCTATTTAAAAAATATCATATTTTTCTTGAGAATCTTCATTAAATATATATTTTTTTATAAAAAAAATTCTTTTACTCTTCATCTTGATTTTGATAGATGTTGTCAATAAAAAAAACATCAATCTTATTTTTTTCATTTTCAAGATTCATAGATGGCTCCCATGTGCATTCATTAATATCATGTTTGTGCCAATATAGAAGATATTATAATATTTTTTGATGTTGCCTTAAACATAAGATTTCTTCTATTTCAAATTTTTGGTTGTTATCTATTTCTATAGGAGGAGGTAGAATCTATCTTCTTTTTAGCATATTCACTATCTTGTATAATTTAAGAAGAGACCTATAGAATAAAAAATAAAAATTTATAGATATTAGTAGATATAATCAACATGCAATTAAATTAATATGTTCACAAATAAGAAATGATCTAAGTCTATAATAATCTAATGTATTACAAAGATAAATATTCTTGATATTACAATAAAATAATCATACTTTGTTGTCAATATGAAATTGAAACTATTCTTTGTAAAAGATATGTAAGTTGATTTTTTGTTGTTTTTGACCTTTTTTAATTATATCTTTATTTATTGCATATATATTTGATAAATGATATGTTAAATCTTTTTCCATAAAATTATTAATATTTGAAAAGTTAAAAGCATCAAATTATGGATATTAATCATAATTGTCATAAAAAAGTAATTATTAATTAGAAGAATGTACTTTGTTATTATAGGCAAACTTAGCCAATGGAAAAAAGAGTTGTATAATTATCTTGATGGTAATTGATGGTATATCTTAAATAATATTTTAATACTAAATTCACCTATTTTATTTGTCTATTAATTTGAGGATAAAGAGCCAAAGATAATTTTATATCTATCTTTAATATCTTAAAAAAGGTTATCAAAAAAACCTAGATATAAATTGGATCTTTTTATATAATATCTTTTGATAGTCCATAATAGCAAAAAATATAATTTTTATTTTTATTTAAGATAAGATTAAAATATTAATAATAAAATATATATAAATAATTAAAAAAATTATTTTAATATAAATAATAGCTGAAGAAGTCTATAAGATTGATGGCAAGGAGTTTTTAATTTTGAATAAATATCACATAAAAGTACAAAGTCTTTAATTTTCTTCAATATATAGAGCCACTAAACATCTTTTGAAATTAATTCTAATATCTTGTTATATCCAAAATGTCCTATAGTTGGAAAATCGTGTTGAGCTTAAAGAGTACATAATTATGCTACAACTTTTAGAACATATAAGTATCTTATAAAATAGAAAAGATTGTTCTTAAATTCAAACTTAAAAGTATCATGAAATTTAGAAAAAATATTATTAATGACATAAGGAAAAGAATCTAAGAATTTACTTGATTAAATTTGATTAAATAATATTAAATTAATAGTCAAAGTTGATTCCATTGCTTTAAATTAAAATTTCTCTAGCTTAAAAAGATGTGTCTATTGTTGATAAAAAGCTGCATTTATTTCTTGTAATACAAGATAACAACATCTTAAAAGTATATTTAACAAATCTTGTTATTTTCTTGATTAATAATTGATATTAAATACAAATCTTGATAGAGACATGTTTCAATGGACTTGAAAATAATTCAAAACATCTATTGACATAAAATACTTAAGGTTTATATAATTTATATAAATAGTCACTAAACTAAAAGTACCCTCTAAATAAATAGTGTTATTTTTAAAATAAATATTTAATTATAAAAAGCTCTTTATTACAGATTTTTTAATTGATCTTGGCTATTAATAATATTTTTGAATAAAAAGCTATATCATGAAATTTTTTGTTTATTCTTATTTTTATCAATACTTGCTGAAGCCAAAGTCCAATGCATTTTTTTCACAAAAAATGCATTAAAAAAATTAATACAGCATAAGATTGTAATTGTATTTAAAAATTTTAAAATTGACTTTAGAGCTTTAAATCTTCCATTAACTTCTTTTTATTATTTAATTTTGTCTTTAAAAGTTAAACATATAAGTAGAGCTACAACTTAAGAATGATTTTTGATAAAATCCTGATAGTAATTCAAAAAATACAAAAATATTTGACATCTCTTATTTTTCTTAGAAACTTTTAATCTATAATAATCTGAACTTTCTTAGGATCTATTATAAAGCCATCATATGAAATGATGTATTCTCAAAAATCAACTTAGATTATAAAATATATATATATATATATATATATATATATTTTTATCTTGAATTTCTAAATTTTTGTAATACACAACAATTATAAAGTTTATACTTTTTATATTTTTAGATTAAAATAAAATATCTTCTAGATAAGAAACAACAAAATCATCTAAATTTTTTCAAAAAAATAAGATTCATTAATTACTAATCTTATTGAGTCATGAACAATCCACCTTCATTTGTAATGATCCATCTTTTTTCTTTATAAACAAGATAGATGTTGTTGCTAAATTTTTTTAATGAAGTATAAAGTTTTTGGCCAAGTTTTTATTAATATATTCTTATAGTGAAACTAATTCATTTTGTAATAAGTTATAGATTGATATAAATTTCATTAGAGCTCTTTATAGTGATTTAGAATGCAACTTAAAATCTTTTCACCATTAGAAATGGATGTAACATAAATAACAAATGATAAATTTTTTGTAGCATGTATAAAAGCTCTAACAACTACAAATGAAGATTTAGTAGTATTAGACTTATGAATTTTCACTTTTTTAGAAATAATCTTAATTATGATATAAAAAAAGTCAAGATTATAAGTAATTCAATCTATCTATAGATTATAATTTTATAGCCATAATAAATCTAAAATAATTAGATTAAAAAAAGATTTAATAAGATTAAATATTACTAAGCTATTATGAACATTTATTGCTACAATTACAAGGATAGTTTTATAGGTAATATCTCTAAAAGTTAGAAGATAATGATCAATGACTTTTATATTCAAGAGCTTAGTATTTTTTATCAAAAATATACTATGTCTTATAACAAATTCTTCATCTAAAAAATAAATTGAAGCTTTTAAATTAAATGAGGTAGAAGCTTTGTGATTTTTAGGTTATAAATAATATTTATTGTAAAAAAGATAATAATTGAATATTATACTTATTATCTCCGTAGTATAAGAATAGTCTTTCTTAACAATATCAAATCTATCAATCCTAAGTAAGAGGTTTAAAACCTATTATATCAATTTGTATGTCTTATATTTCTAAATGCATATGTTAAGAAAATATTAGTGTTTCCATTAAATTGTAAAACTATTGAAGCATGTTTATGTTGTTGTTATATCAAAATTCAAACAATCAAATGTCATATTTTATAGTAAAATCAATTGCTTAACTTAATATTTGAAGATGAAATAAGTTCACTATTAATATTTAAATCTTATATTGTAATCTATAGAAAAATTAGTTACTAAGTGCAATATTATACAACTTAATATTAATTACAAATTATTAGAATTATGAAGCATATAGTGATGTTAAATAATTATCTTAATACAAAATACAAATATTCTTAGTTAAAACACAAATTACATTATGTTATCTTTACATTGATTAAATGGTTTTTAAAATAAAGTTTAAATTATTAAATATTAAATTATATTATTTATAAATAGATAAAAAATTATAATAAATCTAAATTTAAAATTAATGTTTTATTACACTTGTCATGTGAACTTAGAATTGAATAAATTTGAGATTGAAGCTCAATCACTAATTATATTTAATTAATAAATCCTTAAAACTTTGATCTTACACTATCAAACTTCTTAAGCTAGATAATTCTTTTTTCTTTAATACTTTAACAATATTCTACCATAGAAAGAGTAATAAAATTTACTATAGATATTGAAGCAACTTTAATCATCTCTATAGCTTTATTTTTAATTAATCTTATTCTTTATTGTAGTGGTGAATTGTGTTGATGTATATCAAGTACTTATTCCCTTATTTGTTCTTCTATTTTTATTGTTATATCTTTCATTTTAATAAGCTTTGTTATAATAATACAATAAGATAGAAGATTGCTAATATCACTTAAAACAAATTGAAAAAAAATGATTGTTTATATCATTTAAGATAAGTTGAAGAAATGACTCAAAGATAAAAAATATATATATAGATATATATAAATATATATATATATATATATACATACTAAAACTAATATCAATTTAAAAGTAGATAATCCATAATTTTTGATATACTTATATTTAACAATAAAAAATATAATATATTTTTAATCAATTAAAGAATTTTTTTTGATATTGAAAGTATATTTTTATTAATTCATTAAGAACAAAAACTAAAAGAATGTAATTAAATAAATAAAATTTATCTCATTAAAAGATAATATAAAAAAAATAAAAAATATATATATTTTCAAGAAAAAAACTATATTGGCTATTGCCAAAGATAAAGAAGGTACAAACTATTAAAACTAGATTAAAAGCAAAAAAATAATTGATAAGAGTAAAAAGGCCTTACTCTTACTTCCATATATATCATCTAACTAAAAGCTATGTAGCAACATTCTATAGGTCATCCAATGCATATCCAACTTGAAAGATTCATGTTTAACTTACATAACAAGTTTCTAACATTTGTTCCATAGGACCAGCTTTATGATAAGTGGCTAGTATATACAACATGTCGCTAACTTAAAAAACAAGTAGTCAATATGTGCAACATGTGCGTATTTGTTGGTCAAATTTTTTTTTATCTACTAATCATCTATAAATACTTAGAAAGTCAAATTCATATTTATGAAGCCTTTTTATAAGCTATTATCAAATTTACTTACTTCTATCTAACTCTTCTTATTTAAATAAATACTAGTATTAATATAAATGTTGGTGACATGCTTTGGCAAGAAATTTAATGTCCCTTAGCTACAATTTATGAGAGTATAGATATAAATCTTTATCAAATTTTGAAGTATGTGCATTACAAAAGGATGAAAACCAAAGTTTTTCTAGAAGGCTGACATGTCATAGCAGCGGACTTTTGGATAAACGTAATGTCAAAGTGGATACTTACGAGAGAGAGGACGACACTTGCCCCAGAAATATTGAAAGTGATCGCATACGCTACAGTGTCCAGAAGCTCGACCACAAGAGCCACGAACACGCTCAATTTGCTTGTGCCTTCGGTGACCAACAGGTCGCCAGGAAGACTATCACCCATAGAATCCCCAACGTCAAGAAGCACAATCACATCCTTCTTCACTGCAGTCACTTCTCTGAACGTGTATCATGTAATCAAGGTTTTCCATCCAAAATACATAAACTACGAGTTAGTCTGTAACGCAATAACTTCGTTCAAAAACAATCGCTACTCCAAGAATTTTACTTACAAAACATTCGCTAACTTCTTGCTAAATAACTTGCAAATATACTTTTCGATCATCAGAATGTCAGGAGCGAATGAAACATTCAAATAATCATTGCATCACACTGCAGCTCTTCTGCATTATTGTCTTTTCTTAACGGCGGAGAAACATCTACGCTACTAACCATGGACGCTTTCGTGGTTCAAAATTGCATTTTTCCGGGGTATATCCTGCAGCACGAGATACCTTTCAGAAAGATTTGGAAGAAAAAACTAGTTTTTCTTGATCATGGGATTCAGTTCAGGACATTTCTAAACATTACAAAGAAAAAAAAAAAAAAAAAAAAAAAATTCGTACACCGGGATGTGAAGACATACTGGACCCAGAAAAGATCGCTGGACGCTTTCCACAGAAGCGAAGTAAGCCCAAGATGTTAGATTCAGTCCATTGTTAGTCGATGTTACATTCAATCGCCACGGATGAATTCAAGTGTAATCAAGGTTTTCGGAACCTCCCATAATAAGCAGTCAGCTTCAATGAATTTTCGGAGAGATAGAAATGAATGATCATTCATGGGAGCAAATTAGTCTTGTTGGGTGTTCTTGACTGGAGTCATACCTGACGAAGCTCTTCGCAAAAGAAACGCGAATGGTCACCCCAATTGACACCCCAGATTGCCATCCCCACTGCAACAGTTTGTGGTATTGGCAACGCTTACGCATTTTGTAGTCCTTTTCATCGCTTGATAATCTACGCCCACGGTGGCTACACAATCGACGAATAATGGAACTACCATGGATGAACTTACAAGGCGGATACATCCACACACATGCGCCTTCTTCGGTGGATGTAAGTTCTTCGCTCGGCCCTGACACCTCTTCGCGCGAGCTCTCTTGCTCTTTCGCACTCTCGGTGTGTCCCTTCTGATCGAACTGCGACCTAGCCCATCACTTGAAAGCGATCGACATTTGCCGGAACAGGTTCCAGTGCAACTCTGGAATTGTCGGCGTGCTTCACGCTGCGCTTCCGCTCGGAGCCCAATTGACGCTCGTGTTTTTTCCACTCGCGATCGTCTTCGGCCTGTGACTGAGTGGACCGTCCTGTTGGTCTAGGGTTTCGAGTGTGAAGTGGCGAGTTCGCGAGTTCCCCGTTTCAGTTCTAGCTACTGGGTGTGTTTTGTTGGTTTCATCATTTGTCCTTGCGGTCGGAGCTCTCGCTTCTTGCCCTGGTGTGTGTGGGCATGTGTGTGCGTTTTTGTCGATCTCTTCGTGGGTTATTGCAGGCTTTTGCTTTAGTGGATTGATAGCGTTTACCTCAAGAGGAGATTCTAACGTGCAACAGATTCCTCTGAAATATGGTAAGATGAACAGTTAATTGATGGATGTGACTTTGGTAATACAATCCGCAGCCAATTTTATCTTATCCAAATCGGTGGACTCCAGGAGCTTTAAGGTTATATAAATGTTTTCTCGTTTGTGTGTAGATTGGACGAATTTTCACGTTTCTCATTTACGATTGTAAAGGTGGCTGATTATTGAGTGTACAAATGTCTTTATTGATGTAAACAACAATAACAATCGTAACATCAGTCGTGTCCTTCATGATATTCAAGGTGCGTCGTTCTGTTTGCAAGGAATTATTCATAGACGAGGAAGGCATGGAAGAAATGGAAATTAAAATTCTCAGACATATCTAAGGCCCTTCCTTATCAAGAAAAGACTTCACATTCTAAAGGTAGTTGGATCGTTAGTTGCAACAGTTGGAAGAGTATTCTCAATCAGGAATATAGACGTTTATTTTAATGTTCATTCTAGTCTTCTTAGCACTGAGATAGGTCAGATTGGTGAACGTGAGCACGAATGCGACGTCTACACTAAGATTTGAGTTTGTATTTTGGAAACCATGACCATTCATATGTTAATCGAAGTTTTGAAAAAAACAATGACTCCTTTATTTTTCAGTCTGGGTCGTGCTCTCTGTTCTTAACACCTCACTTAGTGATCGACGTAGCTGTAAAGCAGTGATGCTGAAATTTTTTTCCACTCGCGGTCGTCTTTGGCCTGTGACTGAATGGTTCGTCCTGTTGGTCTAGGGTTTTGAGTATGAAGTGGCGAGTTCGCAATTTCCCCGTTTCAGTTCTAGCTCTGGGTGTGTTTTGTCGGTTTCATCATTTGTCCTTGCGTTCGGAGCTCTCGCTTCTTGCTCTGGTGTGTGTGGGCATGTGTGTGTTTCTGTCGACCTCTTCGTGGGTTATTGTAAGCTTTTGCTCTCGTTTCTTGTTTGAAGTGGATGTCATTGGAAATGAGTTTTTAATGTCGTGGGCGGGTTTTGATAGAGAGGTCTTTGTTGTTGAGAGTGGTGGATCTGTGGTCTGTCATGTATTGTGTAAGAATTCACGGAATCGGTGGTTGGCGGTCGTGTTTTGAGCTGCAGATGTGTCATCGGATGAACCTAAGCTTTTCTTTTTGTTTCGGCTTTTATTTCCCGTTCCTTTGTAAAGTTGGGGTTGTTGTTGGTTAGTTTTGTATCGGGAGGCTTAGATGCGTATTACAACTGCATTCAATGGCTGCAGTTTTTGGATTTGAGCGTGCATGTGTGGTGAAGTTTGCTTTGATGGGAGTGTTAGCTAGTGCGAAAGTACAGATGGGATTTCTTGGTGCTTAGATAACTCAGGAACGGGCTTCTGAAGCCTTTTTTTTGGGAAGATGTGTGGTCGGATGTTGATAGAAATACAGATCCAATATGGGAGGAAGTGTTTGCCATTTTCATCGGCTAGCGTCTGTTGTCGTCTAGGAATGTTCACAAACAGTTTAGTTTTGGAATTATCGTGATTGAGGTTTTTTTTACACACCAGTTTAGACGGAGTTAGTAGACAATCTACAACTTTGGAATGTTTTGTGATTCTTGACTGCGAAAGGATGGATTGGAGTGAACATGATCTTGCATGTAGCGCACAAATTAATCTTGTGAAACTTGTTCTAGCGGCTTTGAAGGTCTGAACAACACATGATTTGATATAAACTGTGCACAATCGTAACCACTGGAGGTAATATGTCCATTTTTGAGATCATGAATATGCAGATTTAGGAACAAGGACGTACATGTATACTAGTGTAACACAATGGTAGATTAGGAACTGGTAGTATGCACATAAATCAGATTGGAGTGGAACATCTAAACTACTAAATTTTAAAAACAAGAATTGGTGGTATATAATTGTAAATTGTAGATTGGTGTACAATTTTAAATGTTGAGTGAGAATTCAATCATAAATACATAAGGTATAAGAGTGAAAGTGCAAGAGAGAAAAAAATAATTTTGTACAACTTTGAAGATAGTCTACTTAAAAAGCTTTTATGGAGGTGATTCATGGCTTTTTACATGAGACAAAGAATGGATTTGTATAGAGTGTGGTTGTGAGGATTACAAGGATGTGACAATAGTCAATATAATTAGTATTATAAGTGTTAATTATCATGGATATTGTTGTGTAAGTATATCTAATTTCTAAGACTATCTTCTAGATGAGTATAGGTAGTAAGAATATAGACAAAGTCAAGTTTAGTAGAAAAAGTAGTATTATTTATTGTATCTTAGTCAATTGAATTTTAAAAAGTAAGAAAATTATAAGATATTTGAAAATTATTTTTATTGAATGGAAAGAAAGAAATTGTATTATAAATGAAGGTTTGTGCAAGTTGTAGTTTGTTGTGATGTTTCTTGGAATTTTAATTATTATTTGTTTATTTATATTTTGAATTGAAAAAGTTTAGGTCCATTTAAAAGACTTAATATGATGCATGTAAATCTTATAGAATATACTTTTGTATTCTTATTGGCTTGTTATTGTTTTAGTTATGTAAAGTATTTAGATTTGAATATTTTAGGATGGTAGTCATTTCAAATTGAAGGCTATTATTTAGGTTTTGAGGTGAGCAATATTTGAAAATTATATTTAAGTCCAGTAAAAATTACAATATTAATATAGATTAGAAATGGATTAATAGAATACATTCAAGGATTAAGTGTGAATTGTAAGATTACTTAGGCTTGAAGGTTTAGTCTTTGGAATTCAAGTTCAATTTAAAAAAATTTAAAAATATATGTATGGTATAATAATATAGATAAAAAAGTGTGCCATGAATATTATAAAATACATAATAAATGTTATGTGTGATTGTAGATATGTGGTGATAGGATAAAATTGAATCAAGAAGTGGCTCTTCATAGGACATCTTTTGGAATTAATGAAGGAGTATTTATAAAAACAAGTTTGTATCAAGTTTTTAAAAGTAAGGCTTTCTAGCAAATATGAAACAACATAAAGATTGTATATAAGATATAGGCACAATATCCAATATTTAAGGCATTAGAGAAGAATTATACAAAGAATGTCAAGCGTATGTTAAAAACTATGAACTTTTATTGAAGAAAGAAGACATATTGAATAGAAAATAATGTGCAAATCAATATAAGAAAATTAAAAATGTCATGAAGGTGTTTGATTACTTATTGGCATGCAACAACAATGGATTAGAGTATGTATTTTTATTAAGCAAGTTGTGTTTTGTATTTAATAAAGCTTATTTACTTGTAAAGGATTGTAGAGAAAAAAATTGGTATGGTGTAACTTTATTTCAAATGAAGAACAAAGAAACATTTAGAAAACTACTTTGGGATTTGAAGCATTGTTGTGATAGAGTAAGTGATATGCTTATAAAGCACAATGACAACAAATTTGAAGACAACATATGTGGTACTTTTGATGTTGTAACCTAAAATGAGGTGGAAGGTGATAAAAAAATATTTATATAAAAGATTGATTCTTGAAAGTGTAGAATGATTTCAAAAACATGGATTAGCACAATATTTACTACAAAAGTTGAAAGACTTACATTGCTTTGAAGGTAGAGAATTAGATTCTTTAAAAATATCATTAAATATAATAAGTTTTAAAATTATGGATCATATAAAAAAAAATGATCTTTTGGAGAAGTTTACAAGTCAAAGTAGTTGGGACTTGATTTTGCAATTAAAAAAATGGATGTTGGGCATGATAAGTTATATATGAAAGAGGTGGACATTCTAGCAAGTTTAAACCATTTCAACTTGATTAAGTATTTTTTTTACAATGAAAAATAATGCAAATGAAAGTGAAGAATGTTGGCAACTAAAAAAAAAGAAAATAAAAAAGTTATACTTAGGAATGGAATTGATACAAACAAATTTAAGTGAGATGGTTGAAAAAAATGGAAAATTATCTTACATTTTTTTTTATTGATATTATGTATCATATTGCAAGAGGGATGTATTATTTTCATAATATGCACATTTTACATCATGATTTGAAGCCCAATAACATTTTTCTTAATGTAGAAGAAAAAAGAATCTCAAATGAAATTTTTTAATATGCTATAGTGAAAGTGATAGATTTTGGAATGTCTAAGATTGAAATTGGAAGCAATCCAAAAGCTACAAAGAATAAATATATGTATAGGAGTGCTAAATACATGACTCTTAAGGCATTGAAGAATAAATTTCAAACAATGACAATTTATTCTTTTGAAGCATATGCTTATTCATTTGCACTGATATGTTGTAAGAAGCTATCTAAAAAGAATTCTTCTAAAAAAATTCAAAACATGTAGAATTTTTATCATGTAGAATTAAATTCAACAATTGTTTTAAATTCTAAATTTTTTTTAATTCTACAATTTTTATCATGTAGAATTAAAACAACATAATAGATTGCCATTGGTAAGCCATCTACCAAAATTTATGATATATACATATTTAATTGAGTTTATTGATGTTATTTTTCTTTTTTTGTTACATTCTTATATACTATGTTGATTTTAAGATGCTTAAATATAATCACAAGTTTGTAAAATTATTTTAGAATGTAATATTTTTATTATGTATTTTGTTTGTTTGTTTTTTTTTTTTTTTTTATATAAATGGATGATTTGTTATCTCATTTTAAATTGATAAAGTTGAAAAAAGAAGTGTTTGGTTGAGCCCAATGCTTATTAAAAATAAGACAATTAATTGCAAGCAATGTAAAGGTATTGTGTCTTATTGGAGTAGGTGAAATAGTATTTGAAAATGTAAAGAACTAAAGATAAATTGAAGATGTTGTGTCAATGGATGATTTGTTTGCTAGCAATGGCAGCACATTGATTATGACAATTTGAGATTGGAAAGTCATAGAGGATTGTGCTATAGAAATTCATAAAGTAAATGTTGAAGAACTTGATGAAGAAACAAGTTTAAGGTCGTTTAATACTTATTCTTGTAGATGTTAAGTGAAGTTGCTTCATGATCTTGTTGAAGTTGGCAAAAATATTGTAAAATCTTGTAATAGTCTATCATTGACCTTGAAAGTTATGGATACATTTTTATGAGAAAAAAGAATTTAAAATTTTACAAGTTAGCATTACAAAGATTAAAAAGAAGAAGAGAGTTGGAAGGAAATAAAAAAAAATAGTATCACAAGATTTGATATAAATTAAGAGTAAGTTTTGACAACTTAAAAGTTGAAGAAAAGAATATGTTTTTGGATATATGTTATTTCTTTTGTAATGATATGTGTCTACAAGGCATGTTGAAAGAAAGAGCATTACAAATCTAGACCAATAATGAAGAAATGACATTTGAAAGAGATATAGAATGTATATTTAATACATTGATGAATCAATCAATGGTGAAAGTAGACAAAGATGGAATTGCAAGAGTGCATAATCAACTATAAGATATGAATAGAAATATTATTAAAACAAAAATAGAATATAAAGATATACAAATACAAAACATGAATGTAGAGGCTTTTCATGGAATTTCAAAAAATATAAATATTTAATAGTTATCCACATGAAAATCATGGAATTAATAATAATATTAAAGATTTATAATTTGAAGTTAGAAGATAAGGCACAAAAATACTATGTAGATGTTATTATGTTTTTGAGGTGTATGTTGATGCAAAGTTATTTATTATTTCATTTAATTTCTATTTTTATAAGATTTTGTATGTATAAGAATTACATGATTTATTTGAAAATTTTAAATTTTTTGTGTGTTGGAGTTATATTATTTTATAGCTAAAAGGATTGCATTACAAAAATCTAAATATGTATGGTGAAATAAGAAGTGTTTGTTTTCAGCACTTCAATTATTAGGTTATGATAGTAATCTTATATTAAGAGATGACATAAGAAGATTAGGTATATTTTTTGATTTGACAAAAAACTTTCAACTTAAAATATTTTCTATTAAATATATCAACTGCATTCAATGTATAAAAAGGTATATTAGACAAAATAAGGTATATATTAAATGAAAAAAAATTTAGGAGATATTTTAGACTTTAAATATCTTGTAATTAAAAAAAAAAAACTTTTATATAAGTATTAATAAAGTTATTTTTAAAATAGTTACATTATTAGAACTTAATTTAGAAGGGTGTTTAAATATGCAAATTTTACCAAATACAATAGAAAATTTGATATCATTGAAAAAAACTTAGTTTAAAAAATTATGAGACATTAGAAATATTAGAAAAGTTAATAGAAAGTTTGTATACTTTGACTATCTTAGATATATCAAGGTGCTCAAACTTCACATTATTGCCAAAGGAATTGAACAACCTCACATCTTTGACTTTCTTTAATATAAGTGAATACTCAAAGTTGACATCATTGCCAAATAAATTGAGTAACTTCACATTTTTTACTACCTTAGGAATGTAAAGATACATAAGGTTGACATCATTGCCAAATAAATTGGGCAACTTCACATCTTTGATAATCTTTGATATACTATGGTATTCATACTTGACATTATTGCCAAATAAATTGGACAATGTCACATCTTTGACTTTCTTTGATATGTATAGAAACTTAAGTTTGATATTATTTCCAAATGAGTTGGGCAACTTCACATCTTTGACTATCTTAAATATATCATTGTACTTAAGCTTGACATCATTGCCAAATGAACTAGACAATCCTACATCTTTAACTACCTTAGATATATCATGGTACTCAAGCATGATATCATTGCTAAATGAATAGAGCATCATTGCATCTTTGACTACCTTAACATGTGAAGGTACTAAAGCTTGGCATCATTGCTATATAAATTGGGCAACTTCATATCTTTGACTACCTTAAATATAAAAAGGACAGAAAAGCTTGATATTATTGCCAAATAAGTTAAGCAACCTCACATCTTTGGCTTTCTTTCATATACTTGGATGCACAAGCTTTACATTATTATTAAATGAATTGAAAAGCCTTACAAATTTGATTATTTTCTTTGTATATATATATATATATATATATAAATGAATACTTAAGCTTGACATCATAAACAAATATATTAGAAAAAATTTCATCTTTGACTACTTTTAATAAAAATGAGTACAAAAGCTTGACATCATTGCCAAATGAATCAAGTATCCTTATAGCTTTCACTACCTTAATATGTGGAGATATTCAACCTTGATGTCATTGTTAAATAAGTTGGGCAACTTTACATCTTTAACTACCTTAAATATGAAAGAATGCAAAAATTTGACATTATTGCCAAATAAATTGGGCAATCTGACATCTTTGACTACCTTTGATATATGATGGTAGTCAAGCTCAACATTATTGCCAAATAAATTGGACAACCTCACATCTTTGACTATCTTATATATATGATAGTACTCAAGCTTGATATCATTATCAAATGAATTAAGCAATCTCTTATCTTTAACTACCTTTGAATTAAGTTATTTTTTAAGCTTTATATCATTGTTGAATGAATTAGGCAATCTCACATCTTTGACTACTTTAAACATGGGAGAACGTAAAAGCTTGATGTCATTGCCAAATCAAATAAACAATCTAATATCTTTGACTACCTTAGATATAACATAGTATTCAAGCTTGATATCATTTTTAAATGAATTTGGTAACTTCACTTCTTTGACAACTTTGAATATAGTAGGATACAAAAGCTTAATATCATTGCCAAATGGATTTGTCAACTTCTTATCTTTGCTGCACTAGTAATGAAGACCTATATTATTGGCTTCACCAAGATAAACAATGACAATGTAGAACTTATAAGTGCTTTAAAGAGTGGTATTGTAAAAAAATGATTATTAAAATCTATATAGATTCTTTTAATATTATTGCATAAAATATTATTACAAATTTTGAATACAATAACAAAAAATAAATTAAATAAAATACATACACCAAATAAATTTTACACAAATTTATAATAGAAATTTTAAAAACCGTAACTTTTTTAAAAAAAATATATATATATAACAGAATAAAAACAAACAAACAAACAAAACTATTGGAACTTTTTATGACATAAATTTAAATTTTTAATTCTAATATATATATATATATATATATATATATATATATAATATTTATTTAATTTTTAAAATTATATAAAAATATATTTATTCATTTATAATAGCTTCAATTTTTACATTTCTTAATATTAATGTAATTATATAAATGAATATTTTAAAAAAAGTATACTTAATAAAACATAACACCAAAAAATAATTTAAACTTTATTAGATATATAGATATATACATATATAAAATAATATAATAAAAGTAAATTATATGAAATAAAAGAATTATAAAAATAATAATATTAAATATAAAATTATAGTAAAAATGATATTAAATACTAAAGATTTAAAAAAATTACGAATTTAGATTATAAGAAGAACAAAGTAAGAAATCTAAAAAAAGAAATATAAAGTAATAAATATTTACAAAATATTTTACAATTTTTAATTAAAATTTTGTATAATTAAAACCTGTAAAAAAATTAATTATACACAAATATTAAAATCAAAATTTTATATTTATTAAAAAAATTTAATAAATATATGTATTAATATATTAAAAATTATAAAATTTTATATTTTTAATTATATAGTATATTAATATATATATATATATATTTATATATTTATATAAAATATATATATATTAAGTATAGATATATATATATATATATCCATATAATAAATATTAGTCTATATATATTATATTCTTTAATAATTTATATTTTTAATATATCTTTAAAAACCAAATATATATTTGTAATTTTTTAAAAAACTTAATATTATTGAAAATTTAAATAATATCTCAGATTAAATAAACAAGAAATTATCTTTTAAATAATAAAATAATTATTAATATGGTTTTCTTTGATATGAACAAGGTATCTTTGAAACAAAAGATTAATAAAAGTTTTAGATAAAAGGTCATTACAAAATTAAAATATTATAAATCACAAGATTTATTATTATACCCAACACAAGTTAAGAACTTTCAACAAATTTTCTTACCGTGTATAGTCAATAATTCAGAGAAGTTACACATTTAAGGAAAAAGATGAAGTTTCATATGCTTTGATGCTGAAAAAGGAAAGTGCTGTATAACATTATATTAGAATAATACAACGCATACATACAAGGTAATGTTCATGCATAAGTGGTCTATTTCCACATCCACACTTTAATATCATCCATAGTCTAACATGTTCTTTGTCCCACGTAGAAAAGGATTGTGAACTACAATGTAAACAGAGAATAAGCGTAATAACCAAGAAGTATGAAAGAAAAGGGCAGAACCTTCAGTGACCCAAAACGATATTGAGCTCAAACCTGGCCGTCCCAACTGCATTATCGAGTTACAAGTCTCTTGCTCACCACTCTTTACGTCTTAAGGAAAACGAAAATTACAGAAGATTGACAAAATCAGCTGGCACACTTCAATTTCACCGTTGCAATGCTCCGTTCCCAATGCTAAGTCCACATATTAAGTGTTGAACCTTCAACAGTATGTGCAAGGGTTTCAACTAAATTATCTTAGAAATATCCTGAAAAGAATATATAGAATGCCTGACTAGAAACTACCAGTTTACCCAGAAAAAATGTCGTTAACCTAAAGGACTGATACTTTGATACAAGTGATAGCAAATTCAACCTCCTGAAGTTCACTAGGCACATCTGGAAGTGTCTCTACAATGACTACTTTCACCCACCCTCCAGAATGATCAGCTGTGGTTTGAGACCATTCCTCCGTTTATAGAATGCTCTGGGAGGAAGTTCCTCTTCGATTTCGAACCTCTCGGCGATCCCAAGTAACCTAAAGTAGAATGAACTCCAGCATAATCACCATTAATGAGGGCATGCAATGCTGGAGCCATATTACTACCTTTCGTAGCAGGAGGAGGTAGCCCTGTTGCATCAAAGCTCGAGGCAGGTCGTGATGCCGATTCAAATTCCAATGGAAGTTCTTCAATTGTCTGGTCAGGTATCCAGAAACATGTAAGGTAACATTTTATCACGTATCTGACACCACTAACAAGACAGTTTCAGGAACAACAGAAAATCTCCAGCGTTAAGACTAAACTTAGGCTTCTACCGATACGCTCAGATCGTAATCAACTATTCATAAAATACTCTGCAGATCCACAGCACAAATTCAAGATCGAGTAAAAACACATTACGTGAAAATCCAAATCCGTTACATTCGCTGAAAACATGGGACTAACGTGCACAATTCCATAAAATCATAACCTGCGGTACATATATAACTTCGCTCTAGACCTTGGGCCAACAACAACGAGGTTACTTCAGCTAGGCGATAGGTCGAATCCAGGCATAAAGGTCATTAGGATAATCCTACATGTTCAACTTTAACGATTTTACGATTCTAAGAATTTTAAGCCTCAAATCTATGGTATTAACTCGAGGAGATCATTTCTATGGTTGATTCATCGAAGATTGGAGCAACCTAAAAGATCATGAAACAAGATTTCAACAAGATAGGTGCAAACAAGAAAAAGAGTACATACCCAATTAGCTTGCTGTAGAACTCGTAGAATCTCCTTGCAGCGCTTCCGCTTGACGGCGATGTCCTCCTTTTCCTGAAGCATCTCCTCAAACAAATTCTCCCTATGCAAGATAAGAGAGGAAACGGATTCAATGTGGAAAGTAACATTCCAAATAACGTTGCGTTCCATTCTCAATCAATAAACCGTGGCCATCAACGCGGGAATAAACGAATGAAAACTAAAAACGAATATTATCGATGCACGAACATTGTCTGCATAACCATGTGCAACTAACCTGTACAACTTCCTGATGAATACGCTATGAAGCTCTCTTTTCACATGGTTGACCTATGATGTTACGAAAAGAAAAGGTATCAGTAGAATTCTGCAAATGTGACAGTTACAATAATCCTCGTAGGTCAGCTCAAAGAAAGCCAACACAACGTAAAATATGGTCACTTATTTTCACCGACAAAAGAATTTTTGTGTTAAACACCCACACGTGCTAGTGAACAAATGGTTGAAAGCACGTGCAGGTCGATTAGAAGAAGCATTTCTTATCAGCTGAAAACCAGTAAGGAATAGTGACAAACCAAAAAATGCATGATAGTTTTTGGCACTAAGTCTTGTATATTCTTCCGCACGATGTCATAGTAGGACTTTAATAGCAGCCGAGTAACAGCGATTTCCACGGTCTCTTGCTCGCTTTGAGCATCATTCGCTCTAAGAGTAGCTGGTGGCTGTTGGACATTCAAAACAGCGTTATAATTCCACAATGCAACAGTAAATGTTTTTAAAAGTTTACAGGTACGAAGACAAGTCTGTCATGTCTCCTAAACAGAGGCTGGAAAAAGCATTTCCCACGACACTTAGTGTTCATCCCAAGGTACCGATTGCCTGAACTTACACGGGGCCACAAAAATTTACGAGTAAATATATCCCACCTCACGCAACTGAATGCTGGAAAGTGGCGATTCTAAAAGTCCCGGTGTAGGTTCGGAGTAGCTTCGAATAGGTGCATGCTCCTTACTGCTGCCATTCACAGGTTGGCGGCTTTCACTGCTAGAGAAAATTGAGGATATTCCCCAGCTGCTTCCAGATCCAACACTACCTGAGGACACAAGTACTGGATTATCACAACTTGCTCACAGGACAACTTGGTAACAAGACAGATATTAAATAGCGTATTCATGTTTGAGGAAACGAAATCACGCTCCACAAACCGAGCTAGAACATGGAAATCAGCCGCATTCAAAAATGATCAAGGGACTTATGTTCAAACAAACTACTTAACCCCTTAAGGGTCAACCAAATATCTTCGCACCCAAATCTTCGATAACGTCAAGGAGCTTCAAATTTTCAGTTAACTTCAGAGAGCTACATTGAACTCGAAAACAGGATTTTTAGGATTCCATCCCATCTCCAAAAAGAAGGATATAAATCTCTTTTGGCAGCAGCCCTGACAGAAAAAACTGCTCTAAAAAGAGAGTCAACTGTGATGGCTGCAAAGACTCTCCCATGTAAAAAGAAAGAAACTTATTTTTTTTAGCGAGTCATCAAAATTACAATTTATAAGTTCCGTTAACAGAGTTCTGCAGCGACTTGATGGTTTTGAAATATTTTGAGTTATCTCAAAAGTATGCTAAAATATTCTCGTTAGATTTCATCTACAAAACAACCACACGAGGTCCATGTAAGGCATTTAAAACTTACAGAAATGATATCTTACTTAAGATTAAAACCCTTCATCCTTTAATGCTAATGTTCGAGAACGAGAAGTCGAAATTATTAGCTTGGAAAACTCACCGACAGTGCTAACCTTCTCCTGTGACCCAACCGGAGGCCTTGGTACAACCTGCACAGCCAAAAATTGAGCATGCTCTAATTGAAATACTCACCCAGAGGAGCAAGTACACTACACGTAGATCCAACTAAAAGGATACTCCCAATAAAACAAAGGTGCACTTTGGCAAGAACCTACTGGCTCATGAGAAGCAAGTGATGCAGCATTTGTTCGAGCCAAAATTGCACGAGCTTTTGCTTGCTTCTCTGGTAGGGAAGGGGGACGCTCAGACCCTGGTTCCTTCCAATCATGCAAGTCCTTCACACAACCAAAATTTAATAAGCACATAACAGAACCAGTTATTTCAGAAGGTTCGTAAAAACATATCGCTGCAAAACTAGTTAGGTTTACATTACATCTCTCCATACCCTAGGAATCTTACAGTCAAACGATGAAAAGATTAATAAGGCAATACACACCAAAATAATCGAAAGGTTTAACAAAGATTACCTTGGAAGCCTTGGCACCCCGTTGCTGATTCAAAGCTATTTCCACAGCCTTGCTACCACCAATAAAAGCAGGATGCGACGTATTGATGTAATCCATCTGTCATATAAGCAGATGATCCATAAAATCGCCACATCAGACCAACTCATCACCCCAAAGATAAAACCGACAACTCCCCCTAAGAGAAAAATCTATGTAGGAATTAAGAACAGCATACTGAACCTTGCTTCGTTCAGTAATCTGAAAACACGTTTCACTATGTTCTATCAAACTACAACAAATTAATTAGCGATCACTCAAAAACAAAAGCAAAAGCTACAACGAAAGCTGGGTACCGGAGCTTCAATACCTCCATTTCAATGAGATGACCAATCATGGTTTCTGCGGGAGACAAACCTTCACGCAAGAAACTAGCTACAACTTCCTCGATGCGTCTTCGCAGATGTGGAAACCTTAGCAACTCAAGCGTTTCACACCTATGTGAAATCTTAACATCGCACGAAACAGAATGTCAAATGCCCGGTTAATCTTTGATAGACTTAAAGTAAACCACAAGACGTTAACCAACCCAAAATCCATAAGCATCACAAGTACCAACCCACAATCTGCGCATAGATACCTTCACAAGTTCATCATAAATAAACCGAGCACATTGTAGACTGGGCTCCAATAACCGAGCAATTTGTCGGCGTACTAGCACCTCAAAAGGCACCTACATAAGCCAAATCACAATGATTCAGGCAAGCACAAACCCTGCATTGTTGGCATAAACCCTCCAAGAGTAGGAGGTACCACAATGGAGTCGACACCAGCTATATGAAATTATTTCTTCATTATAAATCTATCCTCCTCCGCTTCCAAGGGAATGAGCAGTTACTTTCCAAAGATAAAATGAGAAAAGCTATTTCTGAAGGTTACCAAACCTGCAAGATTCACATTTACTTGCAATCTTGCCAACATATTAAGTTAAATTAAGGTATGTGCACAAGTCAAATAATGCTTGTTAGGGGAGAATACGATAAGCGTTGAGAATAGTCCTACCTCCGGTACGAAAAGTACATTTTTGGGTCCTGTTGCGTTCTGTATAGCTGTCCGTATGTCATCATCAGTCAAATCGTCGTTTGGATCTACCTCCTATAATGCCGTGCATTCAAAAAAAAAACCCAAGCAACGTGAACGTATATTTCATCAGTTCTACAATAACAAGAAAAACTACCTAAGCCGGGAAACAACAGGGTTACTGATGATTCGTAGTGAGACAAATAGAGGAAAAAATTTCGTCTCATTACAACTGGCATAATTGTGGCAAGACGAACGTAGGTAATGACAAGCAAAAAAAAATTGAACCGCCAAGATCAACTAGCATGGCGAATGGGATGTTAACAAATATCTTAAGGTTTTACACTCCAACGGTAGTAAAATCACCAAAAATAGCGATTCAAACAACTATAATAGAAAATCTTCGTGATACGACGTTATGAAAAACGACACGCACAGGTAAAGGCTTGAAAACGACGTTTTTGAAAAAATGAAACTGAAATAAGATTACAAACAGAAAGTGATGGAATTAACTAACAGATCACCAAGAAAGTTTAGATAGTTGTAAGATTTCTTAATCTGAATTCTTGAGAACATGGTTACCTCCAAACTTCTCACAAAAATAGCTTGAAAAATGTAATGAATCCGGGCTCCTCCAGAGAGCTCTGTAGTTGACATTTCTTCGTACTTCCCGTCAACAACAGATTGAAAGCCTGGAATGAGTTGCCAGATTAATGTTCTTGTGAGGGGGTGAGATCAACTCTAATGACCACAAAAGAAAATAAAGGCTACTTTCATTCTGCTACATGAAAGCATGCTTAAACAAGACATGATGTTTAAACCTATCTCAAGAAAAGAGAGTAAAAACAGAAAATCCCGGTAGCAGTAAATACCATGAGAATACTTGGTCAGAATATTTAGCAACAATGCCCCTTGCCCTGACTAAAAACCACAACAGCACAGCTTTCCAATCAGATTTGCTCCCCAGATCTACAATTTCAGGTATCTACAAAAAATCACGTACGAGGACAGAAAGTCAACAAGAAACTACCTCAAAAGAAAGCTGTCAACTTTCCACAATGTAGCCCAAAATCAATTCAGCAGAACAAAGGAACCTTCATATTGATCTTAAAATAGGCGAAATACGAACATTAGACCTAATTACAAAAAAACAAGTGATCGAAAGAGTAAACCTAAACAATGCAGAACAACTAGGCGAAGAGTCACAGAGGTAGCAGCCTGCAATCAAGCAAATCAAAGACACCTTAATACAGTAGCTTAACAACCCAAACAATTCAGCTTAATATAAAACGTACTTTGGAATCCGTGATCTCTCCGTATCCAGCAAGCTCTTTCTGAAGAGTGATCATCTGAGTGCTTATGCGGGCTTTCAAATCTGGAAGAATTGACTTAATGTGCTGCACCAAAATCTGTGAACCATAGCAGAAGAATTGAAATGCTTTAGTGAGAACTAATACCCATGGAACTGTCTCGTCAGAGAGGATAACTAGTACTAGACTAGTTTAAGATACACCAAGAGATTAATACAAGCGGGGGTTCAGGGTAGTAGAAACAGGTGTCGTTCTATACAACCAAACTTCAAACCATACGAGTGGCAGTCGTAAATTGAGTTCGATTTCCATTTCTCAACAATCAAGTTTAGAAATTCACAATACGAGCAAGAATTACAACGGTCGACATGTACAGAATTAAGAGCAACGAGAGAATCAACCCATAAGCTATCCATCTCGCCAAAGATACACCGCATACAGATATCTAGCGACGAAACTGAGGCTACGAGAAAATACCGTGTTCAATTTTATCGCCAACTGAGGGACCCCGCACCTATCAGCCAAATTATGGTACACCTGCGGACCACCTTTGTATTAGATATTGAAAATACTTGAGTACCATCCATAAGTGTTGAGCTTACCAGCTGCCCACACACAATAACATCTAGGTAGACTCACTGAGAATCACAAAATTTATTTATTTCGATGACACCACAGATTCCATCCATATATACCAATCAAACCTTCGATTGTGCACAAATAGAAATAAAGATTAGCCACTGTCGACTTACGGGTTTGCTCCTGAAGAAACTTTCTTCATAGGCCAGAGCATCTCGAATGGACTTGTTTGCGATAATATCCTATGAAAAGAACATTAGCAGAGAACAGGTAAGCAGTATGGCCTTCAATCAACGCACATCTAATCCACCAAACATTAAACAACGTGATCAGGAACTCCTAAAGCAGCTTCCTCATACTTATTGCAGCTTTTCATATTTACACTCAATTCCATAAACTTGAGTCCACTAGATTACTACAACCAAAACGCAAGTACCTCTTGACTCCTATTAACAACTCCAATATAGCCAAGACGTAATGGTATGACATTTCCGAGCAGGAAATTCCGGGCGTCTGTTCCTCTGTCCATTATATCCAACTGCACATTCCAGGTACCCAATGAAAACACTTAAACACGCCCTACAATAACTTGAATGTATCTATTCTCAATAAGAAGACGAATACGTTCGAAAACTATGGTCCCAAATACAATAACCACAAAATCCTTGAAAAGAAACTTATAATTTTAACTAAGAGAATCTAAGGTCGGCATAGAAGTACAGGGGGAAATTCAAATGACTTACTTTTGTGATCACTCCAATGGTTCGAGATCCTGTGAATGATAATCGCAGTGTTAATTAAGTAGTTGACACAACAAACTTTCCAATCTGAGAACTTGAAGTATCAAAAATTAACCAGAGAAGAATTTGTTCCTCAAGTCCTACAATCAGGCATACCATGAATCCACTTCCTGAATTCCAACCTTCAACCAACAGTTCTCACTAGTTCTGATTATATCTAGCGCAAATATCAACTCTAGGAAATACTAGTTCTTACTTCTTTAGGTAGCTCAACTTTCACAAATTGATGTAAAAGCTTTCAAAAAATTGATGTCTCATCGCCCACTTCCAACTATAAAATAAAATAAAATAAAATAAAAGAAGGATGACAGCAAACAGACCATCAGGATCCGCCATGAGTGCCATTTGCAGAGCGTCTGAGTTTGCCAAATCTGCATTTGCAGGAGAGACTGCCAATATTATGCAAGTCTCGTGTTTAATATAGGACAAAATCATAGTCCTAACGCGGGCCTCGATGTCATTAGGTTGATCGCCAACAGGTACCTTGGTAATTCCAGGTAGATCCACAAGCGTGATGTTCAAAACATTGGGGGAAAAAATTTTCAGGCGAATCTGCTTCTCAGAAATACCCTTGTTGGTTCCAAGCTCCCTGTCGGTCTCAGCCTGCAAACCAAGGAGATAAACAATGAATTAATATAGCATTTTCATATAGTCTGCGACGACAAGTGGTTTATTTTGACATGAATAATACTGCGCAGACTGTAAGTGCTTGAAAATAAATCCCAAAGAGTGCGACATAGAAGGAAAAAAAAAAAAAAAAAAAAAAAAAAAAAAAAAAAAAAATCACCTGAATCTCTTTCCGGATGGCTGCAAAGTCTGTAAAGCGCCGACCAGGAATATGTAGGAACTCACCCCACTCTACTAATTCGGTTTGGTCCTCAGCCCTTCGTGAGGTCTGCACCAACTGCAGCACTAGAGGCCGCCGAGTGCATATATCCGAACCTCTTGGCAAGAAGTCACGTCCTACAAGAGCTTCTAACACACTAGATTTCCCACTGCTTTGGCTTCCAACTACTGCCACCTGCAAGTTTCAACTTTCTTAAAATGCTGGAGTAAACCTTGTGAGGAATTTTCCTTTCTGCAGCAGGAATCCCCATTCCTGTATGTGTGTTCGAAAACCGTACAAAAGTCCAAGTACGATCGGGTTTTCGTATGCAGGCCATCAAAAGGGAAAAAACTTAAACTGTTTTCAATAAATTATGCAATGAATAAAAAAGCAACTATTTGTCCAGCATTCCGTGAGAACTGTGGATTGATAATTTGCTTACAAAAGGTACTATGTTAAATGGCTGATGTATCACTAATGTAACAAATTAAAGGTCTAAACTGCTAATCCTAAGCTACACATTTGAGCGAAGAAATAGAGTTCAACTTTGAGAGTTTGAAGTTCAAGATCTCAAGGAAGTACATGAAGTCCATCGAAAGTTCAAATCTTCGAAAGTCCCTGCAAAGCGAGAGATTATATTTTTATCAAGATCAAGCGACAAGTTTGCTTACTTGGGGCAAGTCGATAGTGGAGGCACTGCCCAGCTGTGAGAATATGTCCTGAAGCTTGTTAACCAAGGGAATCACCGCATCCCCCAGAAAAGGGGTGGAAACTGATGTAGGAGCTGCTGGAGTTACATTAGGCAGCGCTGCAGACACTGAACCCGCCGAAACTGACACTGCAGGCTGCGACATACCGGCCAATTATCTGAAAAATACTCTCCTATCTGTAGTTTAAAGGATTGACTAGTGCAGGTCAACCACAATACCCAGCTGAATAGGACATTCAAAAGTTCAAACTCCAGCCTTGCACTTCATTCTGAATCACAAAGGGAAAAACAACAACATAGTCGATTAGATTTATCTTTAACCAGAACGGGTCATACACCTTATTCCACCCACTATTTTCGTTATGTCAATTTTACTAAGCATGAGTTGTGAATGTAATATACGTAGCTAAAATCCCCCAACTGAACAAAATAAAAATACCCAATGTAATGTTTGAGATCAGATCGCGAGGCTGGGTAAGCACAAAATTAGATCAAAAACCTTCCCATAACTAGGCATCAACAACAGAGTTACCAGTTGCAAACATGTTAATCCACCGCAATTCACGACCTATTCCCCCCTCGACGCATGATAAAAGGAGATCAATCGAACAAATTGATGGCACCTAAACATTCTGACTAGCAACTATTGAACGCAAACCTTCAAACCCTACCAACATCTCGGCGCTCCATTCCTGACCTTTTTCCTCCCAAAATATTCCTTTTCTTCCGGATTTCGACAAGTAGAGTCGAGATCCAACACAAAAACTTCCTATGAAACCATATGCAGCTGAATCCAAACCAAAGTCTCAGAATATACATCGAAACTGGTTGACACCACTCAGTAATCCTCCCGGAATTCCATCATGTATCACATTGCGCGCGAGAAGAAGCTCCGGAAAATGGATTACCTGCACTTCGACGCTGCGTGGACGATGGCGACGATGAGTTTCAAGGGAGTCGTGTTAGACGCCTGATACGAGACACGATGGAGTGCAAAAACGGTGCGAGGATTAACCATTAGGGTTTCGGGGAGTGGGAGCTCCACTCCTCCATGAAGAGGGATGAAGTTCCCCATCATTGAGAACCCTCAGGAAACGTCTGGGAACAAACAAAAGCACCCGTACCCAATTCCTAGTTTCATATTTCCAGTTCCCCTATTTCGCGATTCAATTAAAGTGCAGTTGTGATTAAACTGTTGTGTCAACTATGGCAATCTTGAGGTTTTAACGGTTACGTTGAATCTCCATTTTAAGTGAGGTAGGATTGACATTAGGGCAGAGATCTACGAGTTGGGTCTCTCGGGATTTTGCCGATGTCGAAATGACTTTCCAGCGGGAACACTGTTCGGATTTCGATGCAGAGCTTGATCGTCTACAGATGGAGAAGGCCGACATCCCTTCTCGGTTGGAATAGGATGTTGAACTAGAATACTAAAGAGTGAAACTTCATGACAGAAAGCCAATATTTTGCCACGCAATTTTGCAATGTCGCGTGTGAATAATCCGTTCACGGTTTTCTCATTGAATTGCGTGAATGAACTGGTTACACTTCCAAAGCTCTCTAACAGTGGTCTTAATTTTGGCGATCAAGATGGCTTCAAAATATCTCACAAAGGGTATTTTCTGATCTCTACTCGTGCAAACATGGATTTTGTCAGAGCGTCGTTGCAATTGTTCGTCGATGTTGTTTCTGAGACTGTGGATGAATGTTCTGATCCAGTTTCATTTCTTGCTCCAGTTGATAAGACCTGTCCAATTTCTCCTAAGGTCATTGTATTACGAAGAGATCTTCCTTGGAGGATCAAAGCTGGACTGAGTATTTTGCTGATCATTCTCTCTCTAGTGGGATAATCGTTCTTCAAAAGGAAATCCTAAAGCTCCAGATTTTAAACACTAGTACTCTCAGAAAGCCTTTTGGTGTATAGATGTATAGATGTACTTACATGACTAACTTCAACTATATTATCACTAATTTTTTCATGAAAAAAATGTCATTGAATATCCATATGTTTTGTCTTTGAATGTTGTCTCTCAATTAGAGATATCTCAAGTTCTTGAAGCAATCATATTAGATATGTGATATCTTTGACTCTTTCTGTTAGAACTATGTATTTTGCTTCTATAGTTAATAATAAACTATAGGTTGAAGTTTAATTGAACAATCACTTGTTGATTCTCCTAGCGTATGTAGCACCCTAAAGTTGTTTTTCTAGTGTCTCTCCAATTTGCACCAATGAATGAATACAAGGCTTTATCTTCTTATGAAGAATAATGTAATCCAAATTCTCTGATATTCTTTAGATATCAACTAAATCAAGAAAAGATCTATACAAAAATAGATCTATGAAGAGCATATAACTTAGTTTGCATCAAAGAAGGAGATGAATGGAAGTCTACTTTTTGAACTAGGTATGCACATTTTGAATATAATGCCATGTCTTTTGGACTCACAAATATACTAGTTACTTTTCAACATCTAATAAATGATGTCTTTTGTGAGTTTTTTGATGATTTTGTCATTTATTATTTCGACAATATTTTAATTTATTCTAAGAACATAGAAGAGCATGAAGTTCATGCTCATCATGTATTACAAAAACTAAAAGATGCAAGATTATATGCGAAGATGAAAAAGTATATATTCCACACTACTCAAGTTGATTTTTTGAGACACATCATTTCCAAAAGGCCCTATGATGGATCCAAAGAAGATCCAAATTATCATAGATTTGAAGATCGAAAGAATAGTTAGAGATGTACAATGCTTTTTGGACTTTGTCAATTATTACCAAATCTTTATTAAGAACTTTTTTCAAGTTGCACCTCCATTTATAAGTTTAACTTCTAATAACAAACTTGAGTGGAATAAAGAAGCCAAAGCATTATTTGTTGCTTTGAAGAAGCAATTTACTTCGGCACCAACTTTGTATCGTGTTGACTTTTTTAAGGCATTTTTTATGGAAATAGATGCATCAGACTTTACCTTGAGTGCAGTATTGTCACAAATGGGAACAGATAACAAACTCCATCCAATAGCTTTTCATTCCAAGAAATTTTTAGCAACTAAGATTAATTATGAGATATACGATAAAGAACTTGTTGCAATTATGGACTCATTTCAAGAATGATATCATTATCTAGAAGGTACTTCAAGTCTAGTCTTAATATATACAAATCACAAGAATCTCAAGTATTTCATGTTGGCACATATTTTGAATTGTCGCCAATCTTGTTGGAGCATATCATTATCAAGATTTAATTTCAAGATCACATATTGACTTTGAAAATAATAAGATTTATTAAATGCTCTTTTTAAATACTCTTGTTTTACACCAAAAGAAGGAGATGTATCTTTTGATCAACAAAAAATAATCTTCTTAAAGCCAAAATATTTTCATCTTCAAGCAATAAAATCAACATTGATTGTTGATTTGACCTTTGTCAAACAAATCCAATCAAGTATATCCTCTCATTCTCTTATTCATGATATCAAGAATCTTTCTTTTAAGTCTTATGATGTTTTAAAGTTTGAGTTGAAAAACAACCTATTCTATTTTGAAGGATGCCTATATGTTCCAAAAGAAGAAGCAAGTTTATGTATTTTTCAAGCATTTCATGACTTTCTAACAACAATATATTTTGAATACAATAAGACCAGATTTAGCTTATATCCAGAGATTTTTGGTGGCCGTAAATGTAGAAGGTAGTAAAAGACTTTGTCTAGTCATGTGACATTTGTTCAAGATCAAGAACTCCTTATTATCGATCCTATTGACTTTTCCAACCATTGCCTATATTCAAAAAATCACGGTCTTCTATTTCTATGGATTTTATTACAGATCTTTCAAGTTTAAGTTCATATGACTCTATATTTATAATCATAGATTGCTTCACCAAAATGGCACATTTTGTACTATGTACAAAATCTATTTCAAGTGAAGAAATAATTAAGCTTTTTCTTGACAATATCTATCACTATCATGGATTGCTAAAAGATATTATATCGGATATGGAGACTCAATTTGTATCAAGATTCTAGAAAACTCTATTTAAGATTTTAAAGGTAGATATAATGCTCTCTTTGGCTTTTCATCCTCAAATTGATGGGCAAACGAAATGGGTGAATCAAGTTTTGGAGCAATATTTGAGGATTATTATCAACTATCATCAAGATGATTGGACAACTCTTTTGCCATTGGTAGAGTTTACGTACAATAATTTCGTACATTTTTTTATTCAACAAACACCTTTCATTTTTTTCAATAAATAAATACCCTAAATCCTAAATCCTTAATCTGTCAATTATGGTTATCATCCACGACTTGATACTTTTGACTTTTTAAAAGTTGATAATCTTATAGCAAAAGTTTTAGCAAATTATTTGTCAGAGCTATATGTAACAATGAAGACTTAATTAAAAGAAGCTCAAGAACGAAAAAAGACCAATACAAATGCCTATTGCAAAGAGAAACTACAATTCAATGTATGTGATAAGATATGATTACTCCGTCACAATATCAAGACTACTTTTCCTTATAACAAGTTGGACTATTGTAAGCTTGATCCTTTTTTTATTAATAAATAAGTTGATCCTATTGATTATCTATTACATCTACTAAATTCTATGAAGATCCACCTTATATTTCATGCATCCCTTTTTGAGCCATATAAGACAATGAATATCTCGAGAAGAAGACAAATGCTACTTCTTCCTACAGAAGTAGATAATAATCAAGAGTTTGAGGTGGAAGAAGTCTTAGATTCAAGGCGATATTAAAATAGGTTGGAATATCTTATTCATTGGGATGGATATGATATTAGTAAATGTACATGAGAGCTAGCAAAAAATCTTACAAATGGAGTAAAGAAAGTTAAAGCTTTTCATCAACAATATCTATCAAAACTAAGATGAAGAATAACAAATCTTTTCTATAAAAAAAATAAGATCAAAGAAAGATAACATTCTACCTTCTATCTTTCTTTATATCTTGTGTATATTTGTGATGCTAAAGAGATGGAGAATCAACAACCAGCAGATTCAACTCAAGATCTTTCATTTGTAGACTTACCACAAGAGACATTGTAATCGTTACAACCTTTAAGACAATAAAATCAAGATGAAGATTTCTCAAAAATGACATGTCTTTTTTCAAATAAATAGCAAGTTATAATATATTTGGTATCACAACCTTAGAAGAAAGTCCTAATGTTTAGTAATTTTATTAGAGGTAGGAACAATTTTTGATAATATTCCAAATATTTTATTTGAAAGAAGTTACGAAGGCCTCAACAATGATCAAATTAGAGGGTGGTCTTCTTGTCCTAGTATAAGACACTATTGATGGTTGAGAGGACCTATCAACCATCTTTAAAGAGAAGAAAGATCAAAGTATGTGGAAAATATAATTTGTTGCATCTTAGATTTTTTCAATATATGAAGACCTCTCTTTGTGGAACTTGTACATGGTAGGAGAGAAGTAATGTCATGGACATACATAGGTATTCTAGTAAATACCTATATGATTAAGCAAGAATAGATTAAAATAAATAAAAATAGGTTAATTTCATAAGATCTTATAGAAAAGCTTCATAGAAGCTTTATAGATGTAGTTTTTACTTTAGATGTGTTTATAGGTTAGAAACTTCGAAAATAAGTTAATCACATATTGCTAGCTTATAGAACTAGTTAACTCCGTGTAGTAGCTTATAGAACAAGCTTACTATATGGCACATATATAGATAACTTGCCTTACAAGTTAAGACATGTCGCTAGTAAAATCAACCTATGTTGGAGATCCTATAGAATATTTCCATGTAGCTCCTAATTAGAGAATATATATGGAAACAAAATCAATGTTTTTTTTAGTCCTTATTCTTATTTCAAAACTTTCTAATCTTCTTGTTTTTGGCAATAGCCATTCTAGTTCAATATTATATCATCTTTGAGTGAATTTTTAGTTTCTTTTAGTGATACAAGAGTGTATTGAAGATTTTCTTTCTTTGAAATTCATATCCTTGATATTTGCTCATGCATAGTTCTTATTTTATTTATTTACAAATATTATTGAGTAACTCTTAATATTTTATATAATACAAAAATTGAGGTTCTTATTTCATTTCCATAGATACTTTGAGTAGGCACCAATTACTTGAAGTA